GGTACACAGAAGGTCAGTCAAATCAGGCAGAGGTATCCAAAAAGCGAGAGGCGAAAGGCAAGGTCAGAAAACAGAAGCGTGGTCGTAACAAAACAGACTATGGCTATGGAAACGCTGGTACAAAGACTGAGACAGTGAGACACACAAGGTAATATACACGAGGTAATGAGGGGAGATGGGAAACAGGTGAGGGAAAGCCATCAGGGAGCAGGTGTGACAAGACAGGTGTAGGAAGTGAATCTAGAACAGAAACAACCGGTAAAGTGATTTCATAATAAAACACACAAGGCAGGACATAAAATGTGCACACAAAACAGAAACTTGTGTGTGGGATGAGTTATACAATTTAGTGTATAGTTAAACAAGTTAAAACATTATCTCCTGGTTTAGCATCTGAAATCATGACTCGTGATCATGTCTTACCATAAAATCGTTGCACCGTTTCGCAGGTGTTTCATCGGGCACACTTGTTGTGACCCAGACTCCGGATGTTTCTGTCATGGAGGGAGAGACAGTAGACATCACCTGCTGCTGGACGGAGAAGTTTGAACGAATGGGAGTAAACTGGCTGAAGAATGAAACCATAATCAAGAACAAAATCTTCCTGAATAAATCTCAAGGATCTCTGAAAAGTGCCACTACTAGATGTTCATCTCTGAGTTTTCCAAATATAACAAGAAATGATTCAGGAAGATACATCTGCAGAGTGTTTGTGGAGATACCATATCATGAGCAAGCCAAAGGAACTGGTACATTGATCACAGTTCTACCCAGAGACGACTCTAATGGTAGGTTATTATAACACACAAGTGGCCTCATATACAAACTGTTGCAGTGATGGATCGTCTCATGTTGTAATTGGTTTGGCAAGCTATGGAGGCTAAACCAGTTTGTATTAATGATCATACATGTTCATTTAGAAGAGCTGCACATGAAACACTCATTAAAACCCAGAGTAATTGTACATAATAGACTCCCGATTGATCGCCTGATTTTGTTTAGGGTTCAAGCAGTTTCCATAAACTGTGAGCAAAAAAAAGTTGTTGTCAAATCATTCCTGTCTGTGGATGAATTTCAGAAGTGTACATTCACATCCTGAGGTGCCTGCCCATCCTCATCCTCATCGTCGTGCCCTTCTGCTGCCTCTTCTTCTATTTAAGGAAGAAAGCTCAGCAGAACACACCAGGTAACTAGAACTCTCACTTAACTCCACTGTGATGATCACATCTCTTGCAGTAGAGCACACTATGTTATCAGGAGCTCATTGATGTCACGTTTCAGCTTCTTCTAGAAATAATCCCAGATCGGTCCAAAGACAAGAGGAAAGCGAAGAAGCAGAGGAGAGAGCGACACAAGCAGCAAGAGATTTAGAAAACCATGAAATGCATGAATACATTGTCTAGAAGAAGATGCAAACTCTTATTACTTTCTTCCTTGCTCTAGAATGGACTCTTTAATGTTGTGGCTGAACAGTGTAGATCAATTGTATGTGCCTCTTTGGTTCCTTGTTGTGAGTACATACAGTGTGCTTCCTATTCAAGGGGCTGTTCCTGCAGTGGTCAGGTCAAGTTTGAGGTCGGTGCAGCTGCTGAAGTGACAGAAATTTCGAGTTTTGTCTTTACAAAACTAATATTGCTGTCAAATCAGACTCAAATTCACTGATTGGTTGGACTTTACAGCTGGAACAGCCCAAAATAAAGCTAAGCACGAGTGGTTCAGCACACCTTAAAGGGAATGTGTTGTTATACTGCCTGTCAAATGCCCTTTAATACACTGTTAAAAAAGTTTTTTTTAAAGTATTTTTTAACAGTTTCTAACTGTATTTGTTGTTTGACAATGTTGTATTTAGCAGTTTTTAATCTTGTTTTGGAAAATCACCGAAAAAAAAGTAATGTTCATATTGACCCTAAAAACCAGACTAAAGCTGTAAATAATGGCCACACCAAAAATCTAAAGTTTTTAAAGTAGTAACTTGTTCGTTTACAATGTGACTATAAAATTAAATAGTTCCACTTTTTTTAAATCAGCTAAAAAAAATTATTTTTAAATCATTAGTTACAGATATTTGCTTGTTTCCTGCCATTTTTGAATATTATCGCTTCTATTGTTGTTGATTTTTTTTTTGTTCGTTTGTTTGTGTGTTTTTTAACATATAGTGCACTCTTACCATCAGAGTTTAACCTGTTTTTTTTTTTTAAGGATTTTTTTTGTTTGTTTTTTGGGGTTTTTTGTGGTTATATTCAGTCTTGTGTTCCCACATTACTGATGCTGTAATTTGTTGCTGCAAACTGCATGACTAATCACGGGTCTTTCTGGTGTTGCGTTGTTCCTGTTGGTTGTTGACATGCACACACACCCCCCTTTGGATTGTGAAAAGCCTGGTTCAATAACAGGAGAGGGGAGAATTGCAAAAGGAGGGCTGTATTTTAAAATTTGGGACATTTTTTTTTCATTTTACAGATTTCTGCCTACCCCAGCTTTAATAAAAGTGTTAAAACCTGCTTGTCATTGTGTCATTTTCAGTTATTTAGTCCCGGTACACAGTTTTCAAACACAGTGCCCCTGTTTTCCACACTGAATCACAGAATGAAACTCCAAAGAGAGTAACTCTCCAAATGCTTGTAGTGATCAACTTTCATTCAACACGGAGCCTGTGGTCAGTTCATGTCAGGTATGATGTGTTACAATATTAGGAGGTTTTCCATTGCAAGAGCTTACAGGCCACTTTAGGGCTGCCTGAACCTTTTTGCATGTTTCGAATGCAAGACCTGTAGAGTTTCTTTCAGAAGCACTTTCAAGGAAGCAGAAAGAGGACAATCGTTGACCAGCAGTCTTCTACTTTCTAACATCACCACTTTTACCATAAAATTCACCACACTGGTGAACATAACAACCCCCCACTATTCCATCACCTACATGTTAACAGAACTAAAGCTGAGCCCAGTAACCAATATTTGTCGCTGTTTTGCCCACTTAGGGGTTGATGCTGTGATCAAAACTGTCTGATCCGACACTGCAATGGAAAGAAAAAGGATGAAATAGTGAAAACATTTGCACGACTTTACACCAACATCAAGTTCCTGCAGTGGAAACCCGACTATTGACAGAAGCAGCACTCCTGCAGTGTAATCCACTTATCTGGTTTTTATCTTAACATTTATCTAAATCTGCCACATTTTGGGCAGAGAATGACACCTTTAAGTTGGCGTTTCTGGACAGAGAACAAGTCGCTGGAGCTCAGGTAGAGAATAGACACACATGAGATCATTGCGTTGTACTAAAATATCAATAAATACCTTGAAGTCGGATATAAACTGAACATATCTTTGTCATTTGTTTTTCCCACATGCAGAGGTGTGATGCCCAATGCAGATGTAGCACACAGTAAGTGTGAAATACCAAACTGTGACTTCCTTCCTTTCAGCATTACACAGTGACTTGGAACTGAACTCAGACAATATGACTAAGAGACACGCAAGTGAGACAAAAAAGGCAGATTGTAGTGAAGAAATACACAAATGTTTGTACACATATCAAAAAGTGCTGCATTTCTGTTCAAAGCCTGACATACTTCATCCCCTTGTGTTATAGAGCTCCACAGTTTCACCGTGTGACATTTTATTCATTACGTTATTTATCTCCTAAACCTAGTCCTGCTGTTGGAACTACTCTCTAAAGCACCTAATGTGTATTAATCTCCAGAGTTTGACATTTTGACATGATGGCCTTTGAGGATTGACTCGCTTTTGGAAGCTGCCCCAAGTGGCCATTTGAGGAACTGCAGGTTTTAACACTCACAAACAGCATCCAACAATAAAATCCATCCATTATCTACACACCGCTTAATCCTCACTAGGGTCGCGGGGGGGCTGGAGCCGACTTAGGGCGAAGGCAGGGGACACCCTGGACAGGTCACCAGTCTATCACAGGGCCACACTTAGAGACAGACAACCAAGCACACTCACATTCACACCTACGGACAATTTAGAATCACCAATTAATGTGGGAGGAAGCCGGAGAACCCAGAGAGAACCCACGCTGCATGGGGAGAACATGCAAACTCCACGCAGAAAGCCCCCACCAGGACGCGAACCGGCGACCTTCTTGCTGCGATGCAACAGTGCTACCAACTGCGTCACCCTGCAGCCCTTGTGGTCTTCCAAAACCTCATTAATAATGCACTCTGTGAAGCGATAAATGGTTTTGTTTGGTTTATCTAGATGACGTCCTGATCTTCTCCCAGACCTTTGAGGAACATACTTGACATGTACATTAGGTCCTGGACCAGCTCCTCAAAAACAAGCTCTACATCAAGACAGACAAATGTGAATTCCATGTATCCTCGGTTTCCTTCCTGGCCCAGTTTCAGCAACCAGACACAAGTAACGGCCCACCTAACCTTCTTTTTGTTCTGTTTAAGGACTCACTTTACCCATCTGACCTGTGACCCTGGAATTTTTGAGAGTACAACACAAAGTTTGGTTAAAGGGGTCTGTGCCAGCCCCTCTGTGGAGAATTTGAAAAGTTTATACTTTGGGGACCCCTGGTGGTAGTACTATAAATACACTGGATTTGAACACAGCAACAATAAGTTTGTCAGATGAACTGCACCAATTTTCTACAAACAAAACCCACGTCATCAGAATAACATTACGATACACATCTTTGGTTTCTATATAGATTGTATCTACAGAAATAAAGTCAGACCCAAAATGTCTCCTAACAGCTGAAACACAAGGCTATGCAAAGACAATTTTAATTATTTTTCCATTTCTATTGTATTTCTTTCTTTTTTATCAGTCTTTCTACATCAAATCTAAATTGACCTTTGTCATCTAATTGTATCGTGAGAAAAGTTAATCTCGGCTACAGATTCTACAGCAGATCTCCAGCTGCCTGCAGATGCTGTGGTTTTTCACACTTCTCTGCACAAAACACAAAGGAACTTTGAAGAACAGATGATGGGTGGGACTTAGCCGCTGTAAGAGATGAGCTGACTTCAGTGTTGAAGCAGCGGGGAAAGATGAAGGTTCTACTGAGCAGTCTGCTGCTCTCTTCTCTCTGTGCACTCTCATCTTGGAGTAAGTAGAAACATAAAAACTCAACTTAAATGCCACATTTGTTGCCCTGATGTATAACCTTGTTGCAATTTGTGCTCAGAATGTCTGAATTACGAAAGACTTTTAAATCATTGCATTTATTGATGGCGTCAGAGGGCGAATGCCGTCAACCTCCAACGATCAAACAAGTAAAACATGTAGAACGCTTGAATATGATCAGTTTCCTCATTAGATATGTGCTCTAAAGATTTTGAATTTAGAATATTTTATGGTTTGAATCATGCTGATTTCAGTTTTTTGATCTGCTAAACCTGTAAAGACAAACAGAAATTGACAAATGTATACGACTTAAATAACTACATTACATTTACAGTATATCAGTGTCCACATAGTAGAAATGTATTGTGTGTAAATGCAAAAAAGATGCGTGTGTATATTTTCATCTCCTGGTTTAGCATCTGAAATCATGATTCGTGATCATCAACTGATTAGCGATGTCTTATCATAAAAACGTTGAACCGTGTGTCTTTTTGCAGGTGTTTCATTGGGCACATTTGTTGTGATCCAGTCTCCGGATGTTTCTGTCATGGAGGGACAAACAGTAGACATCACCTGCTGCTGGACGGAGAAGTTTGAAAGAGTGCGAGTAAACTGGCTGAAGAATGAAACCGAAATCAAGAATGAAATCTTCCAGAAAAAATCTCAAGGATCTCTGAAAAGTGCCACTAACTGCTCAATTCTGAATTTTCCAAATATAAGAAGAAATGAATCAGGAAGATACATCTGCAGAGTGTTTATGGATATACCATACTATGCGTCCACCAAAGGAAATGGTACATTGATCACAGTTATGGACTTAGAGAGCAGTGATTACGCCGACAAAGGAGGTAGGCAACACAACAAAAGTTGCTTAACACTGTTGCATTAATGGTTTGATGAATAAGTAGGTTTCCAGGAGTTGGGACTTTCAGTGAAGTGTGTTCAGAATGTGATCTGGTCTGATCAGAACCCAAAGACTTGGGGATCCATTCTAATTTACCCACAAATCACATTTTGTGTAGACAGAAAAAAAGCAACTACTTGAATTATCATTGAAATATTTGGGTTAATTTTTTTCCTCACATTTAGGTAAATCTTCAGATTCTGCCAACAGTCAGCTCCCTGTGATAATTGCTGTTGCTGTAGTGGTTCCACTGTTCCTCATCACCATCGCCTGTTTCTGCAACCTGAGAAGGAAACGAGGTACAACATAAACATTATTGCAATTCATTATTCAGAAACTGATTGCTCCAGATGGTTAACTGGTGGGTTCACAAGAAGTACAAAACACAACCCAGGCCATCTGGGTTGAATCAAATTGAGGTGACGAGTATTTTGTTTGCATTGAAAAATGATATTTAAGTGTATAACTCAGAGAGCGTACTATCAAATGTTTCAGAGGGACTATTCTTAAGGGTGTAAACCAAATAAACAACTAAAAAAAACAACAACAAAACAATAAACAAATAGAGCTCAACTCCTCTTCAGGCCAGAAAACATAATTTGTGAAATTTTGGTTGTGTCTAAAAATTTCAGAGAGTTTCTATCGATCGTCAAGATCATGGAGCATATGTAAAATTAGACTATTACAGGTCCATGTAACACCTAGCAGTTCAATTTGTATCTTCAAATTGAATTATACAAAAAATAGGTTTGATGCTTTCATTAGCCTTTAAAAAAAATCTGTATATTATACTAATTAATAATTGTCAGAGAATATTTTTTAAGTGTTTTTGTCATGGTTTGTTGCTTCAGAATTAGATTTTGAAACAAGAATGCATAAAAATGGATAATTATTCTAATTTATTTATTTAAGCACTAAGGGAAGTCTACAGACAGACATGGACCAAATTTGGAGGCAACAAACGAAGCATAAACAATATACACTGTTTATATTTAAACTGTGAGGATTTTTTAAATAACCGGAAAAAAGCTTGTACACCATTTTTCATTTGAGTTTAATCTTGCAAATTCAGGAAAGAACTGTAATTATTGGACCAAATATTCATGTGCGATTCGTGCTATCAATTACTAATTCACTTCACCATTGAAGCATGGCGGGGGGATTATCATAAGCTTCACTCTTTTAAACGCAATGACAAGAAAAAAAAAGAAAGAAGAAAAAAATGATGTTTTTCATCTCTTATTGTTCACTTTTTTTTTTAAATTAATAAATCGAACAATAAATAAATAAATGTCTTTATATGATGTCTTTATTTTCTTTATATATGTAGTTACTGACCAGGAAAAAATGGACAAAAAGTAGCGAACTCACCAGCAAGCCACAGTGTCTTTTGGTAGAAAAAAAGTCTAAAAACATGTTCATAGTGGGGTTTACAGGATATCCACAGAAACCGAAACATAAAGATGTTGCTATTGATTATCAACAATGCAATAAAATAAAATAATAAAATTAATCAAATGTATTTTTTAATGCTCTGAATATCACAAACAAAATTCACGTAATACTTACAGGTCGGCAGTATATTATATATATGTGTAATTTGGGTAAATGGAGCCATTCTAGGACACCGGGCACAAACAATCGTGTTTCAGCTTATTGCGTGTGAGACGGTTTCTCAGAAATTCTGCTGTGTCAAGTTGTGCAATATGTTGTAAAGCAGAAATGGCTCATGTTTCTTTCAAAAGCTCGATGAATACTGGTTGTTGAGAAACAGATTAGAACACTCAGATTTACGCTTAAAAAATACTATTGGTTGCGAAAAAAAAAAAAAACCCTCAAAATAGCCACAATGGAGCAAAGAAGAGAACATTTCGACACTATTATTACAAGATGATAATCATACATAATCATCAGTGTGTTTGGACATCAGATAGTATTATGGTTGTACCATCTAGCTGTAGCCCGCACAGCTACTCTTTATACGAACAGAAAATTAGCAATCACCGGTGTTCTGGCGGTAAAATTAGTGCTACAGCGCTGCAAACGTATCTTTTTATAAACAGAGCAGTTAGTCCCAAGGTATTAAGTTTGAACTGACAAATTCAGTTTTGACCTATAGTGAACTAATAAATGCCAAACCTTGCTGTGCTTTAAAGGCTGCTGATATGAAGTTATTTCTGAAAACTATATTATCCGTGAAACAAGCCATAAGCATATTGCTGATATATTTACTTATATCATTGGTGGCATACAGTATTGCATTTGTAGGGTTTTCTGCTTTTTCACCAGCCTGCGTCGTGAAGAATAAAGTCAAATCTCAACAATGAACTTTAAAATACTATAATAACAAGTGCATCTGGAGCATTGGATTACAGTTCTCTGTACGTTTTATTGGACCCTCGGTTAAGGCTAATCAATGGTTCTCGTATACCTGTGTACAGATTCAGACTTTTAAAGCGGACAGTGGAAGCGCATACGATTTTGTTTGTGCTAAAATTGGCATTTCCCTTCATATCAAGCGCAGAAAAACCCACAGGGCCCCTGAGGACATTTCTGAGAGTAGAGCTGTGACATTTTACAGGACATAGCAGCGAGCTACAGACTTGACTATAGCACAGAGTCAGTGATTTTTCAAGTGGATGACGGAGAATCTTCTCAGTCTCGCCTCATAACAAGCATTTGTTCTGAGCACTGTTTGTTTCATGTGAAGTTGGCAACACGGACCCTCGTAGAGATTTAATTTATTTTATGGGGACCCTTTGCAGACATAAGGATGCGGAAAACATAAATTTGCATTTAATATAAAATAAAGCATTTATCAAAGCAGTTTTAAACTAAGCATAGTTGAGCTAGACTTGGGTAGAAATCATCTTTTAATGATTTCAAAACAAGCTGAAACCCAGACAGGTTTTATGGTTTGGGGCTCTTACTTAAACATGCTATAATCCTCTAATTTATAGTTTTATTCTGTTTTTATTTTTCCCATATATGACTTTCAGCATAAAGAAACTTGGGCTTTTTAACCCTGTGCACAGTGCATTCTGATTGTTCACGGCGGCATTTCACAGATGAGCTGCGTGGACAGCTGCTAGTTAAATCTTAGTTACCTGTACATGTGGCAGACGGTTATCAGAACCCTGCAGAAAGTGTTGACATGCTACAGTTTCTCAGTTTCTATCTGAGCAGTCCATTTCATTTACTGTATGTCAGTTTACTTCATATCTGCAAATCCAATTCTGGGGGGTGTTAATACAGTTGGGGTCACGAATTGAAACATTACAGGACATCATTTTAGTCAGAAATGTAGGGGACCAAGTATTGAACCTGGTGGCACACCACAGACAAGATGCAGAGAACATTGAGGAGTGGCGTTATGTAAACAGGATGTATGTGATACAAGCTAAGACAGTGTGGTGGCAAAAGTGTTTCAGTAGAAACAATGCAATACTTACTTCAGTCCAAACCTGGTGTAACTCTCTGTCTTTGTCTTGTGGCAACCAATGGCCCTGCAGGGTGTATAGATAGATGTTCGAGAATGCAAGAAGGAGTATTAGTAGTAGCAAAAGAATGAATAGAACTAGTGACAGTCTCAGTGGTAGAGACTGTGATGGCCTTCTAAAACCATTTCCTTTTGTACAACAGTCCTATTAATCGTGTGAATATGTGTCTGTATGTGTTCAGTACAAGCACTCAGAGTGATCTATGAGGTTCCCCACATTGACTCTGAGGAGGCAGAGCCGGACAAACACAGCACCAGCTCCTCCAGAGGCTCTTCTCAGTGGGTGAGTAGGCGTCGCATCAAGGGTTCAGTGTTGCGAGGAGGAATCAGATGGAAAGTACAGCTTTTGATGTCATCCTACTACTGTTCAGTGGAGAGAACACACACCTACAGTACTGTAAAATACTAAAGAGCAGTCTTAGATAGCCTTTAACAGAGTATAACACATAGTCGACTGCAATTCACTGTGACTTCCTGTGTTGTGACATTATTAACAAAAATATACCCAACATCCTGTTTCTGACTAATTGCACATATTGCTCATGCCTAACTCTGTTAGATGTTGGGCAGATTAGAAAATGTAATGGGTAGCACAAACCGTGCGACACTGATGCACCTATTTCTTTGTCTTTCAGTGTCAGGTACCTGTGTACGAATCCGTCGAATACTTTCAGCATGTGGAGACCAAAGAAAGTGAATGAGGATCTGCTTCAGCGTTTTCTGCTCTTATGTTTCAGCATGTATATAACGTACATTCATGACAGAATGATGTAAATAGTTTTATATGATTGTAAATACTTTATATTCTTCAATAAACTAAATCATATCCATATTTGTAGAGTGCACTTGTATCAGGGTAAAGTCAGAAATGTACCTGACTCTGTTTTGACTACATCAGAAAGTCAGTGGTCCTCAAGTGAGTGGTATTGATTGTACAGGAAAGGTGCAGGTTTCACAATGACGTTAGAACGCTAAAAGGATGCCGGGTGGAAAGTGTGGTGTTGCCAGGTCGCAGCAATAGGTCAATGACAGGAAGTGAAAAGCGCGCCTGTGGCGGTCGAAGTCTCACTGCGTGTCTCTTCATCACAGAAGACAGACGTTTGATGATAGATCTAAAATCTGAGACTGTTACGGTAAATACATCTTGCAGAGACCACATTTTGCTAACATTATCTTCACGCATCTCAAATTTTCAATGTTAAATGGGCTGATGACACAGTGATGTTGATTTGATCATGAAGGATGAAACAACAATGTGAGGATGACTTCTTTCCTTATGTTAAGTAAGAAGAAGACTAAACAGAAAAACAACAAGTAGCTATTGACGATGACAGAATTCGTCAGTGAACATAAATCTCATGAAATTACAACACACAGGTCGTTTACAGGATTACAACAAATATCCTTCAAGGTACACTGCACTGGTTCTTTGTTATCGTTCAGTGGCGATCACTCCAACTCTCTGCTTTGTTGCTTGGTGTTTCTCACCATCTGAATTCAACAACAACAAACTCAATATGATTGTTAATACGCTGATCAAGATTGCAAGACATGTAAGACACAGCTTTGAGATGGAAAATGATCTGTGATGTATCACTTCCTCTCTTTGCTGAATATGCATTGTTGCCATCAGTGTGGGGGTATAATGTATTGCAACTTGGAAGTCGAACTTTTCACTAAATTGTTCCTTAAAATTTCTCATAAATGATCATATGAAAAGTGCATGCATGATTTTCTGTTTTAATAGACACAGCAGCATATATTTCAATATTTTAAAAAAGTAGGCTTTTTGGATGTGTTTTGATGTAGACAGTGGATCATGTTTGCTGATTGCATTGCATTTCACAATGTTTTCATCATGATGAATTAATGTATGTTCAGGTTGCACAACTCGGGCCTGCCAGGGTGCGCATTTATTTCCTAACAGTGAAGCTAGCTTTCGTTCCTGGTCTACTGTTGTGCAGGTGAATAGACTGTACTGCATTCATTTATGATTATGTGAATGAAGATACAGTTAGATTATTTAAACCAGAACTTGTGAGACTGATTGTGGATTTGGTTTCTGTGGTGCACACAGCCTCAGCTTTAGCAGCAGCTTCTGGTTGACACCCAGCAGGCTTAGAATGATAAAGGTGTGATCCTTCCCACATATACATTTATGACCTAAGTGTCAAAACTACTGTCAGAATTCATGTTTCGTGTTGTTAAACATGACCTGGCTTAGCTGCACTCCCTTTTGTGACATCACGACTAAGGTCTTAAGTGTTATTTTAGTGCAACTATAGAAGCAATATTTGAAAAAAAATCTAGATTCTACTTCATTTTCCTGCACATTGGGTGATATGAGGTGTCACTTCCTCTTTAAATGTCAATCTGTAATTATGATCTTTGTTCCTGTTGTGGTTGAATTTCTCTGATAGTTGCCACAGACAAATATACAATTTCTGACTAAATATAAACTTCACTAACATTTCAAAATATGTGTTAATTTTCAGAAATTTCCAAACCTTGTCGACAAAGCACCATGAGCATAAGGCTAGTGACAACAAAATGCAGTCAAAGTTAGAGGGAAATTTAGAAAGTTTAGAAAAGTACACACATGCAGTTGTATACAGACTCTAAGAGAAATGAATGGCAGTAATGTTCTTCATTCCTCTAAAAATTTGGAGTATAATTAAAATCTGTGTTAAGAGATTTACTTTGCTTTATTAAACAACTCTGTTCAGTCAGGTGCTAACACGTTAGCCAACTGTAGACTAAATACTAGCAGCACTAGCATCCCAAGAGCCTAAAACAGTGACGCTGTAGCTGCTCTAAGCTGATTTGTTAGCTACTATCACATTAGATAGAGGAACTACGTATAAAATATCATTTTTTTGCCACCAAAGGATGTTTGTTTTCATATCAAAATGATTAAAATGTATGTTTTAGGTGAGATTATGTTAGCTAATGCACCTTTTAAAAAGACTCTTTTCTTATTTTCTGTTTCGCTAGCTGGTTAATAACTGCCGTAGTCGCAGCGTAAATATTGGATTTAAACATTAGTCTGGGCAGAACATATATATACGTATATAAACTCAAGTTTACCATGAACTTTACAGATATCCTCACCTCAAACTGACAGTTAATCTTTTTCTATACAGCGATTCAAACATTTACATATATATATATACAGTTATATATAGTTATATACATGCATATCGTCTGGGAAAATGTATCTTTGAAAAAAATGTTAATTGTTCAGAGTTAGGCGATTTAGAAGTATATTTTTCCATTAAAAAAAAGGCCTTCCTGCTTTAAAAGTACTTAGAATCAACTCCACACCTCCTCTAGAATGTATCTGTATAGTCCACTCACTTTACCTTGTTTGCTGCAGCCCAAGCACACCAGCTCACCTACAGCTCTCCTCAAACACTGTTAAACTGTTCCACACAAAGTTGTAATATTAGCAAAAGTAGAGAAAGAAACACCATATGGACTTGTTACAAAGCTTACTTTTCATCGGAGGGGGGTCTTTGACCTCCCGTATGTTAAATAATGCGCATTTGCAATACATGGTGCTAAAACGCACAAAACAAATATGAGTGTTATTTGTTTAGATGTATACAATCATAACAGGAGTGTCAGACTGACTAACGCCTGTTCTATTGCAGAGTAGTTTCTTAATAGGGAGAAACCTGGCTGAGAAAAGCTACAGAGAGCCACTCCCTCAGTCATGGGGACAGGCAAAGCTCTCGGTATGCACCCCTTACCTCTATACAGCTGTATACTCACTGGTATGACCTGCAAATGGTGTTAACCACCATGCACTTGACTATAATTTTCTCACACTTTCACACAGGTCCTACAACTTGCAAAAATGCATCTCTCTGCATACAGTTTACCACATCAGTGCAGCAGGTGGTACTACATGTTGCCTTCGATATGGTGCACATGAAATAAAATCCTAAAACATGACTCAGGTGCTTATATTGACTTTTTTAGGCTATTGAAATTTTATTATTATTATTATTATTATTATTGTTTTTGTTGCTATTGTTGTTGTTGTTGTTGTTTTGAAAATCCTTCCATAATGTTCCATTCAGATTCATACATCCAAATGCAATGTCTAGTAATTTACTGTAGATGCAAAAGGTGGGCCTTCTTATAATGTTTCCAGGAAATCTGCTCAATGAAAGAATTCAATCACGCAGTCACGTACTCAGGTACTTTACTAGTTGCTGACTTGTCATAACTTTCCCCTTGTGGTCAAGTACAGCCCCGTCTAGGAGCACACACAACCATCGAAGACAGTAGATGCAGTGACTGTTTAAATACAATTTGCATTCATTTCCTGAAGACGCACCAAATCACAATCACTACAAGGTTTATACTTCAGCTTGTACAATGAAATGATTAGGATTTATTTTTAAATCAAATGAAACAAATCATAGAATCAGCTGCTTTTGCGGTGAAGCCCTCCCCTTACATCAGTAAAGATATGAATAAAGCTGTATGTGGCCTTTCAGGTGATATGTACTTTGGATGTCGTGCGATTTGAGGATGTGTTGACACACGCCGCTGTCAAACATGAGAGTATTACCTGGCCTTACCTGTCCCAGCCCATTTTGCACATCAGTATAAAAGGAGTCGCCTCTTTCTTCGTTCACCTCTCCTGCTCTTTGGTTTTTCTCTTTTGTCGTGTTGTCCACTTGTCTAGCAGCAACCATGACGTAGTCAGAGACTGCTATGTCCATCCTGATAAAGAGCTTTGACACCTATGCAACTGGTGACGGAGAAAAGGGCACACTATCCAACGCTGAGGCCAAGACTTTGTTGGAAAAGGAGCTGCATGCACTGCTTAAAGTATGTATACCCCAGAGAGGGATAACTCTGCTGGACATGGTAGTGAAATCTGCGGAAATTATATTGAGTCATTGTGGGGGAAAAATCTAACTACCTGAGGAGCTAAAAAACAATGGATTCAATTAAATACTTGATTGAATGTTTGCTATAACAGACCTCTTTCGCTTCATGCTGTGGTTTTGGTGGTTGCTATGTGTTGCATGCCTATAATTGGATCTATGAAACTGTCATTCTGCAGCTTTTGTACGCTTTAAGGTGGATTTTGTACTCATCAGTAATCACTCTCGATGGCATTTCTCTGTCAAAAGATTACTTGAATAAAATGATCTTGATACCGAGTGTTGATCTGACACCATGAAAGCACTGTTGAAAGCAAAACCCTGAGGAGGTGGACAGGCTGCTGAAACGTCTGGATTCCAGCGGAGACTCTGAGGTCGACTTCGCCGAGTTTATGAGACTGGTTTCTGATTTGGCTCGCATCTACCACGACAACTGTCCAGGGAAGTGAGCAGGAGGACCACGCCCTGGAGAGGAACCAAACTAAAGGCAGCAGCAACAACATGAAATCCTGATAGTTGCTGTGCTTTTGTAACATCTGGATAAAGAGATGGATCTACCTGTATGTGGTTATTAAGTGTTAAATATAAAATTGCATACTGTGAGAAGATACTTGCAGATCATGCTACTTTTCTGTATTATGTGTTCTGCTTTGGATGAACACATTTAAACGCCCGTTTGGGATTAGGAAACTCTCTCAAAATTGTGAAATCAGACAGCCATCTAGTAATCAAGCTTAAACCCAAGGCTGGTTTAAGTTCCATAAAATGCAGTTCCTCAAAACCCTTCCCATTAATGACAACACAGCGCATTTACAAAACAAACAGGACAGAGATAAAGAAAAAGGAGTAAAAATGTGCACAATGTGACAGAATTTCATAATTGTAAAAAAAAAATGTTGTACAGTAAGTGCAATGTATAGCAATTACATAAAACAAAGTAGACTGAATAATTTGCATGCTGGAAAAAGTACAAAATGAAGAGTGCAAGATGATGTATAATGGAAAATGTTTTCAAGGGTGGTCAAACAGCCTCGCCTGCATTTGAACAGTCACTACACTTCCTGTCTAACTGGGACGAAGCCGCAATGTCAACAAAAATAGCACATGCAGCATTTGCTCTTTTCTCAGGTGACAATACAAGTTTGTTTCATGCTTGGTGATAAGCAGTGTGTCTGTGAGTGGAAACAGCCTCGTTGTGATGAAATCACTTAAGCGGGCCAAACATTGATGCTCAGAAATGGTCCTGCCAGATGCGCCGCAGCGGAAGAGGACATCTGCAAAATCTCAAGCGAGCGGTCAGAGCGGTGGCTTTGTGTCTGACGCACCGATGTCAGCCACATACAGACACACACGAGGCTGTGCTGTTTTGAACTAGAGCAGGAAGTGTGTACGTACACTTAAAAGTTCAGTGATTCCAACTTCAATACTAATAGAAAGACTATCTTGAAAATACAGGGCCCCCAAAGTAGAAAATCAAGTCAGTAAAATGCAGAATGCATGATATGACAACTGACACAGAAGTTAAAAAAATAAATAAATCTGTGCATAAATGCATGACCGCAGTTATAAAATTTCCTGTGAACACTAGATTGTCAGTTTTGGAACTTAACCTGGGTAATGCCTATCTGCATGTGTGCATCATGGCTCCACATGAAAAATGAGATCACAAATATAGAAGGAAACAGGATTATTGACATTTAGGAGCCTAAATGCATTTAAGTTGATGTTTGAACAGTTACCATGCAAGTTAATGTTAAATCAATAATAATTTACACTGATTTAAGAGAAATTAAAAGCAGTATTTGCAGTAGAGGATTTAAAATGGGGGCTGCAAGGTGGCGCAGTTGGTGGCACTGTTGCCTCACAGCAAGAAGGTCGTCGGTTCACGTCCCAGTAGGGATCTTTCTGCGTGGAGTTTGCATGTTCTTCCTGTGCAGCTTGGGTTCTCTCCAGGTTCTCCGGCTTCCTCCCACAAGTCCAAAAACATGTTGAGGTTACTTGGTGATTCTAAATTGTCCGTAGGTGTGAATGTGAGTGTGCTTGGTTGTCTGTCTCTAAGTGTGGCCCTGTGAAAGACTGGTGACCGGTCCAGGGTGTCCTTAAGCGGTGTATAGATAATGGATGGATGAAAGTGGCTGTGATTATTGCTTCCTAAAGCACCTTTAATTATTTTCTGATGCAGGTGAATAGAGGATGCAGTTAGTTTAGTCGGCAGTCACATCTATATAACATAAAAGAAGTCTTCTGAATGTTGGCGGCCATATTTTTTGGTAAATAAAAAAACAAATAAACTTGTTCAGCTCAGGTGGGGTCCAGCACATTTAGAGGAAACGTGGTCAGGACTACAGCAGTGAATGCACAGTCCCAACAGTGACGCACGAAACTGGGAGGGTAAATAAAATAGGCAGCGATATCGACATCTGACCAATCGCGACTACGGACAAGTCTGGCTGCAGAGCAGCTTACTTTACTGCCGAGGAGAAGAACATAATCTTTACAAAATATAAAGAATATAAAAATATCATAGTAGCACAAAAGCCAGGAAGGAATGCTGGCAGAAAACTGCTAACCGTGTGAATGCATAAGTTCATACGTTTGTAATATAATAAAATATGACCGCTGTTCCATCATGAAGGCACGTATCAGACAAGAAAACTAAATAATTTGTGGCCTAATGTATAGACTTGTGGCATATCTGACATATTTTTTTACTTTCAGCTGCAACCCTGGCGATGTAAAAAGGACGTGGGAACAAATTAAGAACAAACATAGAAACATAATTCAAAGCGGTGTAGCTTATTAACGTGTCCTACAAGCTTTAATGCTAAAGTCAGTTAACTGTTGTGGGGTGATATTGGTATGGAAATAAAATATGAAATAGCTTTGACATGGCCTGTAGCCAACAGGGGGAAAAAAATGAATAAAGGAAGACAGGAGCTCATAGAGATCCTCATCAGGGTGCGCTGTTTTGCCGGTCCTGAAAAANAGACTGGTGACCTGTCCAGGGTGTCCCCTGCCTTCACCCTAAGTTGGCTGGGATAGGCTCCAGCCCCCCCGTGACCCTAGTGGGGATTAAGCGGTGTACAGATGATGAATGGACCTGGCTAAATATGTCACCAGACTTGTATCCAATAGAACATATAGAACAGAATGCTCGCTTTGGATAAAAGCATCTGCAAAATGAAATAGTGGAAATTGTAGAACACTTTTGTTTGTATTTTAAAGGTCGAGCATCAGAGCTCTATGAATGGCTAGAACATCTTTCCAGAAATGTGGTATCCTCCATGCCAAAGGAGCGTAGAGTCTGTCAATAAAAATAAGGTTGAATATATACGTTTTTGAAAAACTTAAAGATTCGAACTTTAGGAATGACTTTTGTTTTTTGTTTTTTTTCTTTTCTTCAACTGACTTTTGTTGTTGAAGCCTGTATTTTTAATAATGACAACAGAAAGAGCAAACACCCTCCTGCCCAACTTAATCATTTGAGGTGACATTACACAGGGGTGTCCTGATCTCTGTTGTATACTGTAAAAACACAAAGGCAGCTCATGATCTTTACAAAGACCACAACAATTTCACTGCAGTTCCAGCTCTACAGTAAACTGATCCTCTACACTAAACCTGCATTGTGTCTACGCCTGGGGCCTGTACTACGAAGCGAGATCAACATATCTAGGATATCTTTCAGAGATCCGGCTTGACTAACTCTAACAACCGCAATCGAGATAACTGGTCCTATGACGGTGGTTATAAACTCGGTAAGTCAACCCAGGTTTGTCTGATCTGAGTATGAGCGCGTGCACATAAAATAGGTGGCAATATCGACATCTAACCAATCGCGACTACGGACAAGTCTGGCTGCAGAGCGGCTCACTTTACTGCCGAGGAGAAGAACATAATCTTTACAAAATATGAATAATATAAAAATATCATAGGAGCACAAAAGTCAGGAAGGAATGCTGGCAGAAAACTGCTAACCGTGTGAATGCATAAGTTCTTTAGTTTATAATATAATAAAATATGACCGTTGTTCCATCATGAAGGCACGTATCAGACAATAAGACAATTTGAGGATTTTTATTAATTTGTTGCCTAATGTATACACTTGTGGCATATCTGACATATTTTTTACTTTCAGCTGCAACCCTAGTGATGTAAAAAGGACGTGGGAACAAATTAAGAGCAAACATAGAAACATAATTCAAAGCGGTGTAGCTTGTTAACGTGTCCTACAAATACAAGCTTTAATGCTAAAGTCAGTTTACTGTTGTGGGGTGATATTTGTATGGAAATAAAATATGAAATAGCTTTGACACGGCCTGTAGCCAACAGGGGGAAAAAAATGAATAAAGGAAGACAGGAGCTCATAGAGATCCTCATCAGGGTGCGCTGTTTTGCCGGTCCTGAAAAACCCTCACACTCCTCAGTGATCCTTCACAGTTCACGCTCCGATGTGTAGCAGGTCTTCTATAAATGGTGATGCCATTTTGTTGAGAATGGTTTCGTTTTCTATTCCTTCTTTTTTTTTTAGGCCTTTTTGCCTTTATTGTATAGGACAGTGAAGAGAGAGACAGGAAAGTGGGGGAGAAGCATGAGGGAAGGACTTGCAGCAAAGGGCCATGAGCAGGATTCGAATCCACGGCCGCTGCATCGGGGACTACAGCCCCTGTACATGGGTTACCAGCGCAACCAGTTGAGCTACAGCAGCAGCCCCTTCTTTTACTCCTTCTGAAGTTTTATGGTAGAGAACAGATTGTCAGTGGAGGTGTTTTTATACCCAGTAATCTCAACCTCCAACATAACCTGCTACGGAGCAGGTTAGCTGGTTCAGCCTAAGTTACCATGGCGATATACCCCGACAAGAACTAAACCCCCGTTGTAGGACTGAAAATCCCGGATTTAACCTGATGTTACCTCGCTAACCCCAAATCCTGCTTCATAGTACAGGCCCCTGGTTACTCAAGGCGCCAGGCATCACAAACACAACAGAGGGATTTAGAGATTCAAAGATGCTGGAGGGGAAACTTTTTGGACTTTGTTAATCCTCTGATCGGCGGCATCACGCTGCCTCTTAATCCACCGCTGTGATACTTTCTGTCTTCAAGTCAGGTCACCGCTCGATCAGCCCACCAGGGAGCACTGGCCAAGTAACACACTTTCTCCAGCTGGGACAGTTGTGTAATTACAGAACGCCTGTGCTGCCCTCTAGTGGCAGACTGATTCTCAGTCTGCTCTTCAAATGGCAGTAATTCTGACCAGCACTTGTACAGTATAGCAGCAGCTCATCATTTTTTGATCACTGCTCTCACCCTGAGTTACACATGGCCTCCCTTTTTCTGTGTGACTGCAGCTGATTTGGCCGGTCGGGCTGAGTCGGAGGCCTCGCGACGCTGTTTGTGAAACGTGGTTGGCCTGTAATCGGCTTGCAAGGTCATTAAGCTCAGACTCTCCTCTCTCCACTTCCTCTCCTCTCCCTGTCCAGGGCATTATAAAGGCTTATGGGGATTAGGTGTCCAGAGAGGAGGAGGATGTGGCCCCGGAGTCAGGAGATACAGGTGGGAAGAAAAAGAGTGGTGCACGAAGAGTTTACTGTATTTGGTGATGTTCTCCTCTGGTTTTCATCTCATATTTTGATGTTTGTTTGTCTTATGACATGTTCTACATCATTACTGATCATAACTATATTTTGCATGATAAGTTGATCTCATTACCTCTATTAGCAAGTTTAATATATGATTCATGCCTTGGAATACAAATAAAAAAGTTCTGAG